GAGCGCGGCCGTGCTCCAGCACTGCTGCTGTGGTGGCGTCGGTCCCAGTCCCGGGAGGGTTTGCAGGTCCGGACCTGTGGGCTGCTCGGTTGGGTCACCGTGGAGCCGGTGGAACCCTCTTTTGGGATTGAGGTGACCTAAAAACCGGCTGCTTGGGTGCTGACGAGTGCTGGCTGGGCCGGGCGGGGCACCCGCACCTGCGCGCAGGTGAATGCCCGGCGCCCTGGCGGCCTCTGCCCTGGCACACGATCCGAGTTGTAGGAGAAAGTTTTCAAATAGGGAGGATCCGGGAGGCGTATTGCCCGCCTTTCCAGAGGTCTGTGTATCCACTACACATCTTTTTTTAAAAATCAGAAACGGGTTATGTTTCTTAAATCTGGCTTGTACAAATAAAAAAGTCACACCAGGGAATGATGTAATCTGAAGGCAATCTGCTAGGGAAACGAGATCTCAGATTTGGGGTGCATTTATCATAAAAATAGAGGGTTGGAGGGAGGGGACCTGCGAATTGGTTTTTCAAGATTCCTCTGGTTTTGGGGGGAGTTTGTCTCTTCCCGGGTCCTCAGCACGATGGCTCTGATATCAGCGTAGGGGCTGCTTGCTTCCCTCCTGTGTTTGTTCTTTCAGTTTAACCAGTCGGTGAGCAATGAACTGAATATTGGGGTGGGGACTTCCTTTTGCCTGTGCACCGACGGCCAGCTGCACATCCGGCAAATCCTGCATCCTGAGGCTTCCAAGAAGGTAACAAGAGTGCGACTTCTGGACAGATGGCTGGGCTTGGGGAAACGGCCGGTGGGGGGGGGCTTTTGAGAAGGGCCTTCGAAAAGTCGTTCATCGGAATGCATCTACATTTTGAAAGCTGCAACGGGTAGTTGTTGTTTGAGTGGGTATAGGATTTCATTTTGGGCTCTAGGAAAGTTGGTAATGCTAAGATGCTAAATTTAATGCATATTTGGCCACAATTAAAATGCACGACAACTTTATGGAGAGGTTTGGGACTGCAGTAAGGGGACTGACAAAGGTTATCTATAAAAGCAGTCTCTTAAATTTTCAAGATTGTTGACATTCCCTCTTTTTCAAAGCTAGCATGGGGGCTGAATTTTTGACACTTAATATAAACTCAACTAGGGAAGAAAGAAAGTATTGTAATATTTCTGTTTGTGGAAATGCTTTAGTCCTAAGGAGGCCATGATGTAGTCCTAAGGAGCTGGCCATGGTGGTAGAGGGCTGTAATCCCAGTACTTTGGGAAGCTGAGGCAGGAGGATGGCACGATTGAACCCTGGTACTCAAGGCTGGAGGGGGGGTTGTGTCATCAGGAAGAAGTTCAACTAAACTATTATTTTTGTTTTGGGATAAGATCTTACTAAATTGCCCAGGATGGCCTAGAACTTTTGATCCTCCTGCCTCAGCCTCCCCAGAAGTTGGGATTACAAGCAAGTGCCACTACCTCTGCCAGGCCCTTTGCGAACCTTTTTAAGTATGGAGTGAGAAAACTGTCTTACCCTGGATAGGCTATGATTTCTCTCCCTGGGAAGAGTACTTAGGGGCCGTGGGACAGTGACAAGCACAGACAGCTGCCCACCCTAGCCAATCATTCCTAAGGCACTTGCTCTCAACAACTTAAATTAGTTTGAGCTGTACCCTTTTATTGTGGTTGGCGGGCATTGCAAGAGCTTGAAAAGACAGATTATATTTGGGTCCTGGAAGCAACGGAGATTGGCAGTTGATGACACAGGCAAGTGCAGTCAGTGCAGATTTCCTGTTCATTCTCTCAGAGTAGGGAAAGGTGTGCAGTTAGTTAATTGTGCAATGTGAAAAGTCTGCGGGAGAAGCTCATGATCCTCTGCCTTGAGAATTAAGGTCACTCCTTTTATAGGAATCTTAGTAATCATTTAATTTTTTTATTAAATGTTAGACAATTGCCACATCTTTGATCCTGAAGTGGACACACAGGAGGGTTCTTTTGTCCCCATAATTTATATGGGGAGGGGGCAAGACTTAATGCTTCCCACACTGGGCTGCAGGGAAGCAGCTGTCTGCATTGTTGTAGGTGGACTGCTTTGGATGTGGGGGAATCTCCCAAGGAAAAAGACTTCTCCAGCTATTTCTATTAAGATTAATTAAATAAAAGAAACTAGAACAACTTAGCACCATAGCAAAAGTCATTCTGCATATTCACTGACAGACGAAATGGCAAAACATGAAGAAAATAATAAGTTAAAGTGTTTTTCTGAATGTGAATATATTTGGATTTATTCTTCCAGGCTTCTATAGAAAAGCAGTCTTTTTGTAGGGAGTGTTCATACAAAAATACTTAGTATCAACATTTTTTATACGCACTAAATAAAATTGTATTTTATATTTTAAATGGGTACAGCTGTTTACACCAAGCCTTTTTGTTGCATATGGGAGTCATTGTTGTAACAGCTTTTAAATGAGCTTTCTTAGAGGTAATTGGGAGGATTTGTAATTCTTTTGGGAACGTGAAAGCTAGGACCATCATGCTGTGATTGATACTGATTTCAAATACAGCAGAAGCAGGTAATATCTAATGGAATTCAATAGACGGAATTTGGATAGAAGGAGATAGTATTGAACATATATTAAAAAGTATTTCCTTCATTTTCCTGACTTGTAAATGAGTAGAAATTCCCAGTAAGTGAACACAAACTATTTTGAAGTTTTACCGAAAAATCTAGGCCAGGCATGGTGGTCCGTGCAGCCTGTAATCCCAGCACTCAGGAGGCAGAGGCAGGAGGAACCTGGGTTGGAGACAAGACTGGGCTATGTAGCGAGATCTTGTTTCAGAAAAAGAACTGAAACCAAAAAAAAGTAAAAATCTTTTTAAAGAAATTATCTTTAAGCTCTTCAATGAGGGTTTTGGGATCACAAAATAAACAATGGTGTTATATTTTCCCACACTGTTAAACTTTAATAACCACAAAAGTGATACTTGTGGTTAAAGAACCATTTCCCCTTTGCTTTGAGATTTGCAATATATATTTTACAATTCTAGTTCAAGTTCTAAGATATGGCCAGAAAACCCATCATGGGATTTCAGTGGGCAGAAAAACCATCATGGGATTATAATTTGGCACAAAAATGATCTTTGTCAATTAACCAGGTATTTACCATTTTAATCTAATTTACTACTGAAAATATACATGATTAGACCTGCCCACAGCAGTGAGACCTACTAAATTTTATAATTTATATCTGTGTGAAAACAGATGTCTGAAAACACAGATGGCCTAAAATGATTATAGCTACAACTCAGAAAGTCTATACTAATACAAATATAGCAGCCCAATTGTAGCTTCAGGAATGTTTTGAGTAAAAATGCATAATGGGACACCAATGTTATATATCTTTCATTAAAATAAAAAAGTTTTTTGTGAAACTTAACATTCAGGATCTAATACAGTAATAGGAGCAGCAATTTAAAAGACCACTTACATTGTTTTATATTTTAAAACATCGTGTGCTTACATTTAATTTTTAGGTTCCTAATTATTAGGGAAACATTGAACCATTTCCCCTAGTTAACAGTATCTACCTTGTCTGTCCTTCCTCAGAATGTATTGCTACCTGAATGCTTCTATTCCTTTTTTGATCTTCGAAAAGAATTCAAGAAATGTTGCCCCGGATCGCCTGACATTGACAAGCTGGACGTTGCAGCAATGACAGAGTGTATCCTTCAAATGATTAGCCAAGAATCCTTTTGAAAATATAGCTCCAGGGAAAAAATGGTTGATTCAAGAAACTTCTAAATGTTTTAGACTTTGTCAATGTATGGATGAAACTGTCCTGCCTGAAATTTGTCTGCACTCTGTGTTAGGAGGAACTAATAGTACAATTACAGGCGTCTCTCAGAGTAGCTGGTAAACTGAACTTAAACAGCTGGATGGACTTAGAGGTGGATTTTTGTGAGATGATTACTTTGATGCAGATCCCGAAGTCTTCTGTCCCTCATTACCTCGGTCTGAGGGCTTACTTGAGTACTAGGTAGCTGTCCTTTCCTTACCAGCTGCAGTTCACTAGTAATCTCTTAATCTCTCACAAGACCATGGTGGTTTTAATAAGTCATTTGCTGAAAGTGCAAGGTCCTGAGTTCAATCCCCAGTACCAGGGGGAAAAAAACCCCAAGTCATCTGCAGGAGTGGCAGTATGAGGTTGGGATGGTCCCCAAATTCCTTTTTCTTTTTTTTTGGCCCTGGAATCAAAGTCAGGACCTTGCGCTTGTGAGGCAGGTGTGGCACCACTGAGCTAAAAATCCCTGACCCTGTCCCCAGATTCTTTACATGCCAAGGTAGTATATTTGATGCATTCATTATATATTGTAAAAGTACATTTTGTAATCATAAATCTTAAAATCACAAATGACCTATTACATTGCATTCATTAAGTCCTTTTTTTGGGTACCTGGAATTGAACTCAGGGATGTGCACTTGCCGGGCAGATGCGCACCACTGAACCACACTGTCTTTAAAGTGCTAATGTCAGGGAGCCTGAGTAAAGGGAGTCCCTACAGCTCCTGTGAGAATTATCACGAGGTAGAACCTGAGGTACCATAAGGAGCTTGCCGGGAGGTGGAGATTCTTCTTTTTGTTTTGTTTTTTGAGACAGGGTCTCACTATGTAGTTGAGACTGACCTGAAACTCAATGCAGCCCAGGCTGGCCTTGAACTCACAGCAATCCTCCTGCCTCAGCCTCCCAAGTGCTGGGATTACAGGCGTGCGCCACCATGCCCAGCGAGATTCTTTTTCCTAAACTTTCTCCTTCACCATCAAGAACTGAAGCCAGAGCTCAGTGTTGGCTGCACACACCTGTAATCCCAGCACTTGGAGGCTGAGGCAGGAGTATCACCGCAAGTTTGAGGCCAGCCTGGGCTCCATAGTGAGTTCAAGTCCAGCCTGAACCACAAAGCGAGACCCTGTCAAAAAAACAAACAGGGCCGGAATTTAGCATAGTGGTTCCACTGCCTCCCTCACAAGTGCAAGGTCCTGAGTTCAATCCCTGGTACCCCCTCGCCCAAAAAAATTCAGGGCTGGGGCTGTTAGCTGAGTAGTAATGCATATGCATGTGCAAACGCATAACACTTAGCGGTACATAGGTGAAGAAAGGTTAGTAAATTATCTTAATTTTAGTAGGTAAGGCAGATATAAATACTATGAAGTATTTATAAAGGGTCTTTCCTCTGGCGATTATTGGTCCTGTGTACTCATAAAAGTGTCCATCCCAGGCCAGGGATTTAGCTCAGTGGTTCTGCCACCTGCCTCACAAGTACAAGGTCCTGAGTTCGATCCCTGGTACCCCCCAAAAAAGTGGCCATCCTTACAAATGGGGTTCTGAGGACTGGGCATTTTTAATGTATTGACCGTTCAAAGAGAATTTGTTAAATGTTTATCTACTTTTAATCCCTCCTAAGATCTTCACATGTGTAAAAAATGGGGCCATTAGCAAATGCTTTCAAAATGTTCACTTGTATTTCTTACTTGGTCTGTGCTCTTATTTTCTACATATCACTACACAGTCCCTTATAGTATCTGACCATTAGGTAAGTGAGCAGGATGCTGGGCTAATTTTTTTTTAAATCTTGGGACTGGCGATTTAGCTCAGTGGTGCCACCTCCTGCCTTGCAAGTGCAAGGTCCCAAGTTCAATCCCCGGTACCAAAAACAAAACAAAAAAACCCTTTTAATTCTGGCCCTGTAAGGATACATTGGCAGTCCATTTTCAAGTGCCATGGAGACAAAACTCAAACATCTGACTCCAGCCAGGCACAGTACTGCACACATGATCCAGCTGTTGCACAGGCTGAGGCAAGAAGTACACATTTGAGGCCAGTCTGGGCAACTTCCTGAGACTTTGCCTCAAAATAATTAAAAAGGGCTGGGGCTGTAGTTCAGGGGTAGAGTGCCCCTGGGGTGGGTCCCCTAGGACTGCTGGGTGGGGGTGAATGACTGCAGTGAACAAATTGTGAAGAAAACCAGGGGCTCACTTACATGTGCATCATATCTGAAATCTGAGGTAGGATCTGCTGACCATTTAGTGATGCATTTGTTGGGAAAATGATGGAATTTTTTGTTTTCTTTCGTTTTTTGAGATATGGTCTCACTATGTAGTTCAGACTGGCCTTGGACTCACTGTGTAGCCCATGCTGGCCTTGAACTTGCAGTGATCCTCCTGTCTCAGCCTCCTGAGTGCTGGGATTACAGCTGTGCGCCAACATGCCCAGTGGAATTTTATATTTTTAAAAAAATACAGGGCCAGGGATTTAGCTCAGTGATTCCATCGTCTGCCTTGCCAGCGCAAGGTCCCAAGTTCAATCCCCGGTACCAAAAAAAGAAAAGAAAACATTATTTAGGGTGGCTCAGTGGTAGTGCAAACTTGCCAAGCAAGTGCAAGGACCTGGGTTTTATCCTTAGTAGCAGCAGCAGCAGCAAAAGGGGTTGGGGGTTTAGTTACAGATTTATAGTCTGGTTGCTTTGGATATACATTGAATGTCTTCAATTTATAGTTTTATTACCAATTAAAAAGTAGATTTTTTTGGACCGGGGATCCACCTCAATGGCTCTGCTGTCTCCTTTGCAAGCACAAGGATCTGAGTTTGATGCCCTGTACAAAAAAAAAAAAAAAAAGTAGAATTCTTTACCCTAAATGTTGTGATTAATACTACATTTGCATGTTGCTTTTCCCATTTAGTAGGTTAGAAGTGCTATTAGCTTTCCATGGCAGTATTTTTTGTGTTGTTGGAGTTTGAATTGAGCTACATTCCCAACCCCTTTTATTTATTTATTTTTAATTTTGAAACAGGGTCTTGTCAAGTGGACGGGACTGGCCTTGAACTTTCAATTCTCCTGTCTCTGATTGCTCTTCTGAGAAATCAGTGTCTCCCTGACTAAGCCACCAAAACAATTTCTGTGGTCAAAAGTTATGGCAGTAAATCTGAATATCAACTCATCTATGCAAAGTATTTCTACAGTGTCTGAACTGAAGAGTTTTGTTCTTCTAGACAGCTAAATATTCTCTTGGCTAACGCAGAAATGACCCTGGATTTGGAGAAATAAAGATAGTTACTGAGCATCCTCGATTTTGCCAAGGAGGTGAAGTCATGTTTCCTTCCCAGTTCCCGAGGTAGACCACTGGGGCAGGGAAAGAGACTTCTGGGTGTGTTCTGGTTTCTCTTTTGTTTGTTTGCTTGAGACAGGGTCTCACTTTGTGGTTCAGGCTGGCCTTGGAGTCACTATGGAGCCCACACTGGCCTCAAACTCACAGCGATCTTCCTGCCTCAGCCTCCTGAGTGCTGGGATTACGGTCACTCATCACCACGCTTGGCCTGACATTTTATTTTTAATTAATGCTTTGGTGGTGATTGCCAAGGCTTGGTGTGTACCGAGCACGCACACTGCCACAGGCTACATGCCAAGCCCATACTCATGATTTTCTTCGATGAAGGTGCATAGCAATGTGGATTTGTTGAGAATCTCCGTGACAGAACTGTGTGTGTTTAGGATGTGCTTACTTAACTTTATCCTCAAGTAAAATTTACAAGTTATTTTTCAATTATTTTTTTTTAAAAGAGTAGATTTAGGTTCAGTATAAAACGGAGTGAAAAAGAGTCCTCATAAGACCCCTGCTTTTAGGACATACACAGCCTCCCTTCTGCACCAGGGCTGCTGCATTTGTCACCACGGGTGAGCACCCGAGGCTCACAGGTGACATGAGCGTTCATTTTAGGTGTTGTAATTCTTTGGGCTATTTTTCTGTGTATGTGGTACTGAAGATTGAACCCAGGGCCTTTGCACTGAGTCACAAATCATCAGCCCATTTTTATTTTAGGACAAGGTCTTGCTAAGTCTCTGAGTGCCCAAGTTTGGCTCAAACTCAGGATCCTCCTGCCTCAGCCTCCCAGAGTGTTGGGATTACAGGCACACACTACTATAGTAATTATTTGGGTTTTAACAAGTGTATATACATTGTAACATCACCATAGTACAGAATGTTTTGCTTTGCTTTTGTTTTTTTTGAATCGGGATCTCACTTTGTAGTGCTGGGTGGCCTTGAACTGCGCCGTCATGCTCAATGCAGTACAGTACAGAACAGATTTTGCTTTGTTTTGTTCTTTGTTTCTTTTTTGAGACAGGGTATTTCCATACAGTTCAGGCTGTTTTGAACTCAGTAAGTAGCCCATGCTGGGCTTGAATTCACAGTGATCGTCCTACCTGAGCTTTTCAAATGTTAGGATTACAGGCAGGCAGTGCCAGGTCAGGCCAGGATAGTTTTTGTTTTAAAAATTCTTTCTGGGGCTAGGGATGTAGCTCAGTGGTTCTGCTGCTTGCCTTGCAAGTGCAAGGACCTGAATCTGATTCCTGGTGCCATAAATAAATTTTCTGGCAGGGTGTGGTGGCACACACCTGTAATCCCAGCACTTGGGAGGCTGAGGCAGGAGGATCTCTGTGAGTTCGAGACCAGCCTGGGCTACATAGTGAGTTCCAGGTCAGTCTCAACTACATAGTGAGACCCTGTCTCAAAAAAAAAAAGAAAAAGATTCTTTCTGTTCCATCTACTCCTCTTTCTTTTCCTTATTTTTTAAGTGTCTCTATAGTTTTAACTTTTCAGGATATCATATATTGCTTTTGTTTTGGTTTGATTTTAGATTTTTTTTTTTTTTTTTTGAGACAGGGCCTT